ACTACACACACAGAGTCGCTTGTGCCAAAGGCTATGTATTTCTGTGCCAAGGTCTGACACCTCCCTGTTGTCTACTATTTCTCTGCCGCCTGAAGAACCAGCAAAGGAGGCCCGGGCTCCTCCGGTGGGAAGAAGCCTGTGTTGCCAGGGACTGGCACTCCAAGCACCACGAATGGACCTCCTCTACGGCTGCGGTCAGCACTGGGCCAAGGCCGGAGTCATTGGTCAAGGCTTGGAGGGCTGCAGGAGGCAAGGAAAGGCAATGGGGGCGCAGCCAAGGAATCCTAGCATCTCCCAAAGGCAACATCCAAACCCTCTTATCTTTTTCCATCTCCGACATCTGGAGGCTGTGCTCGACTCTGGCCACTGGGGGTGCTGTTGTTCCATCTGCCATGCCGAGGAGCTTTGCTGTCCTTAGACGTTCTCCCAGTCTGAATGGGTCCCTTTTATTACCTCCCCGCCAAAGTGGTACCTTTTTGTCTACTCACATTGCTGTTTTAGAACTGCTAGGTGAGCAGAAGCTGGGCTGACGGTTGGGACCTCGCCCCAACCTGGGCTTGAACTGTTGACCTTTCGATCAGCAGGATTTTTTGCAGCTGGTGGTTTAACCCAGCCAAAGATAGACAGCCATAGATATATAATAAGTAGGCCTGTTCAATGCATGCTTCTAAATGGTTCTAAAGTAAACTAAAGTTCTGGTGGTGAAAATTTCAGAACTCTTTCAAAATTTAATTATTATTTCATTATTGAACATTAGGAAGAACTTCTTGACTGTGAGAGCCGTTCAGCAGTGGAACTCTCTGCCTCGGAGTGTGGTGGAGGCTCCTTCTTTGGAAGCTTTTAAACAGAGGCTGGATGGCCATCTGTCAGGGGTGCTTTGAATGCAATATTCCTGCTTCTTGGCAGAATGGGGTTGGACTGGATGGCCCAGGAGGTCTCTTCCAACTCTATGATTCTATTGGCGATTTTTATGACAGAACAATTAGGAACTGCCATTTATAATGGCATTTTGAGAGTTTTGTTAGAGTTCTGAAATTTTCACCACCAGAACTTTAGTTTTGTAAGTACTTTAGAACCATTTAGAACCATGCATTGAACAGGCCTAAATAAGGTATAGAATCTTAGAGACAGAAGGGACCTTGAAAAGCCTTCCAGTCAGGAAGGCACAATGGACATAGATATGACTGAGAGCCTAAAGGTCATCCAGTCTGATAGGAAGGAAGGCACCATCCAAGCCCTCCTGACAGATGGCCACCCAGCCAAAGATAAATGGCCATAGATGTTATTGGAAGAGATATATCATATAAACCTTGAGTCAGAAGGGTCCCCTAAAGGCCACACAGTCTGCCAGTCAGGAAGGCACCATCCAAGCTCTCCCAACGGATGGCCATTCAGGCAAAGATAAGACAGCCATAGATATGACTGGGAGAGATATATCATAGCATCCTTGAATCAGAAGGGTCTCCTAAAGGCCATCAAGTCAACCAGTCAGGAGGGCACCATCCAAGCCCTCCTGATAGATGGCCACCCATCCATAGATATGACTGGGAGAGAGATATCATAGAATCCTAAAGGCAGAAGGATCCCTTAAAGGCAATCCAATCTGATAGGAAAAGGTGCCATCCAAGCCCTCCCGACAGATGGACACCCAGCCAAAGATAAGATGGCCATAGATATGACTGCAGTCTGGATGGCCTTTAGGGGACCCTTCCGGC